GGCTTACAAGCAGCCTCTTGCCTCTTTCAAGGCTTTAACTGTTTGGGAATTACAAATGTCAAAACCAATTTTTAAAAAATGGCCTGTTTGCTTTTATCATACTCTGCTTTAATCCAAAAAAGTTTTACTAGAACTAACATATCTGATTTAGAGGGTATTAAATCTTTGGCCATTTCCATTTCTATTCTTTTTTTTTTTAAATCTTCGTAGTGTCTGTTACAATAAAACTTTACGTTTACTTCTGCACGCTTAATAAATGTTCGGCTCGCCGTATATAGTTTTAAATGTTAAATGTTTAATGTTTCCACTTGTTGCATGTGCTACCGCTGCCTGTTGCCTGTTGCCTGTTGTCCCGCTTTTGGCTGCAATGCTAACACACAGATGCTTTTAAAGCGTGCACGTGAGGATGCTCTTGCCAAAAATGCAACGAATAGCAGCGGCAACAGCAGCAGCTGTAAGCGTCCCAATAACATCGGCACGGCCTGCCCAAGTCCGCCCAGAAGTGGATTGGCCCGCAGCTCCAGTGCGACAACGATAAAGGCCGCCAGTAAGATTGTTGTCAATACGTTCCATGGCAGCAGCATGCTCAATGGACAGCAGCACGACGAGAAGAGCAAGATACTAACACAGAATGGTCTAACCAAATCAGCTGCCTCGGCCCTGGAGACCTCGCTCTATGCCTCGCTCTATGCGCAGCCATCGCAGTTGCCATTCCAGTGCATCAATTCGCGTATCGCCTCCGGTGAGCATACAAGCAATTACATGGGCGTCTCCTTGAACAAATGTGTGAGCATCAATCATGAAGGACGCCAGAACGATGATGATCCCTGCGCTGGTAATTTCTATTTTCATCTATATAAAACTATATTTATGTGCCGACTGACGGATTGACCGATTGAGGATCAGCATAAAGCTGAAACCGTGTTCCGTGGCATTGGCAATTTTCAACAAATTAGAGCAAATTTATTTGATACTTATTTCGCATTTTTTCTAAAATCCACTGCTGCTCGTGGAAAAAGTTTTCTAGGCGAAATTTCGTCCGATCGGCTTCGAACTCATTTTTTTATAGCTCAACTTAAAAAGTTAATAAATCGATTTTAAATATCCACACAACACAATTAGGAAAATGCATTGTCCTTTCTTCCATCAATCCGCTTCAAACTAATTTTTATAGATTCCGGAAAATCCACCAAGCGTGAAACTTGGTCTTCAAATAAAAGAGAAAAGGCAGAAATCAATTTTAATCCTACTTCAAAATTGTGAAAATTAGAGCAAATTTATTGTTTCACACTTTTTCTAAAATCCACTACAGCTCGTGGAAAAAAGGGGATTTAGCGGACTTCTAGGCGAAATTTCGTCCGATCGGCTCTAAAATTTTTTTATACAGCTCTACTTAAGTTCAAAAACTGCGTTGTAATTCTGTTTTGTACTTCCATCAATCCGCTTTGACAAATTTTGTTTTACGGAAAATCCGTGGAAATTGTGCTTTAACCTAGTGTGTAAATTTTAATTGTTCTCCCAACTGAAAATGGGTTAATATATAATATATATGTGAAGACTTTTTAAAACTAATATCTTGCATACATCTGTCGCGCAGCCATTGATGAAATTACCAGCTACGACGACTCGGATTCGGATGAGGACTATGTGGGCACACCGTTCTATCTGGAGGACGACAACGATGAGACAAGCCAAAGTCGTCATATCCGCCTTAAACTGGACAAAGTACCGTCCAAGGCTTCGGTGGCGACCACAAATACAACAGACTCTGAAGCATCTGTATACTTTAAGCCTGAGTCGATATTGTCACCCAGCCTGTTCCCGAATGTGCCGCCCTATTTGAATTTCACATCGCATGCTGACAAGGGGCCGCCAATGCCGGCTACACTGCATCGTGTGCTCAAATGGAAGCTCAGCCCGGTTATGCCAAAGATTGTAAAGCGCGTCGTGCTCAATTCAGGCTTTCGCATTATCAAAAGTAAGCATTCAAAAAAAAATAAATACTAACGGACTGTTGGACTGATTGTTGATATGTGCCCCGACTAAATGATGAAAGCTTGAAGCTAGATTTTATTCAGCAGTAGCTTTTATTAGATTCCGTAAGAGTACGAGATTTTGTTTAATTCCACCCAAAAGTGTGGAAAATTCGCGGAAGACAGTTGTCTGCAACCTTTTTGTTTGTTATCCGATTCGTGTCTAACTCACTTTTAAAGATTTCTGAAAGGCGTTTCAAATTTTCCACAAAATGTAATCCTCCTGAATGGGCAACGTTTTAAATTCCGTCTGATCGATTTCAAATACACGTTTCACCCATTTACAAAACGGGTGGAAAACTATTCTTAATATAAAAATAATACTTTGCCCTGGCAACAACGTGTTATATACTCTCTCATATATTAATAAACATTTGTGTTAACCAGACACCACCGACTGGATGGCTGTGTGGGAGAAGCACATGAAGAGTCCAGGCTTTCGTACGATACGCTCGCATCAGAAATATAACCATATGCCCGGCTCGTTTCGCATTGGACGCAAGGACACAATGTGGCGCAGCATTGCCAACAATATGAAGAAGTTCGGCAAAAAGGAATTTGGAATCATGCAAAAGTGAGTCAAGCTCAAAGAAATATACTTAAAATGAATACGAGTTAAATAATGCACTCATCGCAGATCGTACATAATGCCTGATGATCTGGAGAATCTGCGTCAGGTGTGGCCCAAGAACGCGTCGAAGCTGACCAAATGGATTGTTAAGCCGCCGGCCAGTGCACGGGGCACCGGGATACGTATTGTGAACAAGTGGAGCCAATTTCCCAAGGATCGCCCGTTGGTGGTCCAAAAGTATATCGAACGTCCGCTGCTGATCAATGACAACAAATTCGATATGCGTCTGTATGTGGTGCTGACCTCCATAAATCCGCTGCGGATCTATATGTTTAAGGATGGGCTGGCGCGTTTCGCCTCGGTCAAGTACAGTTCGGAGCTGGGGAATCTGGATGAGCGTTGCATGCATCTGACCAACTATAGCATAAATAAGTTTTCACAAAACTATACGAAAAACGAGGATTTCAATGCGTGTCAGGGACACAAGTGGACACTGCAATCGCTATGGTCCTGCCTGGAGAATCGGGGCGTTAACACGAAACGCCTGTGGGCAACGTTACGGAATCTGGTCATCCGGGGCATTGTCTCGGGCGAATCTGGCCTGAATCGTATGTATCGGCAAAATGTAAATTTCCGCTACAATTGTTATGAGCTATTCGGTTTCGATGTGCTGCTCGATGAGAATCTGGTGCCCTGGCTGCTCGAGATAAATATATCACCGTCGCTGCACTCGGAACTGCCGCTCGATTTGCACGTGAAGGGCCCACTGATACAGGCCGTTCTCAATACGGCGCTGTATCAGGTGCCGCCCAAGTTGAACGACCGGCAACAGCAGGAGATACTTGAAGAGCTGCAGATGCAGGGACCGCTTGTCCACGACAAACGCATCTTTACCACCTGCCTAACAGCCGAAGAGGTGCGCAAGCACAATCATTTCACCAGTCGTGCCATTGAGTTTCGGGAGGAGTATGTGGACACCATACTGGACAATCTGTTGCCAGACGATGTCCGTTGCCTGATCGTTGCCGAGGACGAGCTGGCACGCTGTAAGCCGCTGGAGCGCGTCTTTCCCACACAGGGCACACATGTATTTCTGCCTTACTTTGAGAATGCGCGCTACTATAACCGCCTGCTGGATGCTTGGGAGACCAAGTACGCCAAGAATCGTGAGCAGGGCATTGCATTATTGACGCGCTTCTGCAAAGATAAATATCATTTGCAGGTCTCCGAAGCAGCCATGGAAAAGGTAAATATTATTAAGAAAACCCCTTTATTGAATTTAAACCCTTTTCACATACTTGTGCAAGCAGAGCGATAAAACAGGTACGAGCTCGCTTCGAACTCGTCTTTGCTCGAGCTCGAACATGTTGCTAGCGTAGAGTAGATCGAACCTGGTTTGTTTGAATATACTCGGGTTTGATTGAATTGGTGCAAATGATTTAACCGATGCAGGAAACTAGAATCAGCTGCTTGACCAACTTTTATTTTTGTTTTTATTTTTAAAGGAACCAAATGTTGCCCTTACCGAGATAGACATGCTGCATGTGAAAAAGGAAGAAATTCTGGATAATCCAACAAATTTACCGCTTATTAAAGCCGCTGAGAGCAGTGATGCAGCAATGCAAGCTGCCATGGGCTACAAATCAAGAAGTCCAGAACCGACCAATATTCATTAAAAAAATAATATATCGAAAGACTGACTAAATTGAATGAGCGATTAAGCGAAACCAAAGTTATTTTCTGTTTGTTGTTTCGTGTGGGTGCAACATAAGAACAGTAACAAAAATAACTCCAGTCTTCTTTTAAATTCACGTTGAATTTCCTGCAAAATTTAAGTTAAAACATTTCTGGTTAATATATTTTCTACTCAACATATTTACATCTTCATTTATTTGCGCTTTTCGAAACTAACTTGGCCTTCGCAACTTTATGACAGACTATCGATACAAATTATCGATATAATCACCGGAATATTATTGTAAGTAAATTCTGTTAAATAGTGTAATTTGTTTCTGTATATTGCTGCTGCCTTAAAAAGTACAAATTGTATAGAAAAGTTTCTGTTTTTAAAGGGATAAAAAACTGATTGTTCATTTTTAAAACAATTGGGAGGAACTACTTGTTGAATTTTGATCAAGTTAGCTACAATATTTATGCAAACATTTTTGCATTCTCGTTTATTTTTAAAAGAACAATATATAAAATCGGTTAGGCAATTTCTTATTTTTTAAGAAAATATTTGCAAAAGTGTACCAATCATATAAAACGCTGATGCGCAAATTAAAGTGCAACGATATTTTATAAAATTAATTCGCACAAGTTTGCAATTTCGAAAAGAAAAAGTATCGATACATCGTATATCATCGCAACAATGCACGAGATGGACCCATCGATGCATAGCCAGGCGAAGAGAAGTTGCGACAACCCTAAATTATCGGCAAGGCAAACAATGAATGCACGACGTACGACGACGGCTCGTTCTAGAACGAAAACGCGAAATTGTTATTAAAAACTGAGCAAGCGTAGAATTACGCGCAAGTACCCGGTCACTTATACTAATGCAAGTGGCAGTGAACGCCAAGCAACGGCAACAAATTGCGCGTGAGTTTTAGATAGCTTCCTGAGTAGCGTCACGTAGACGGCAAGCGACTTGCAAATCGATATTCACACTCACTCACATACACACACACACACACACACACCTAAACGTACACCCACCAGTACAAACAGTATGGAAACCACACTAGAAGGCGGCGGCGCTGATGGCGAAAATAACATTTTGCCGCTGCCAGCCATGTGCCAGGACTCCGCCCGAAGCCCGACCGATGCCGCAGTAATGCCCCAGACAGCGGTAAGTTGACGTCGTTGAGAACGGCGACGTCATAAACTGCCGCCCGAAATTTTGCGCCTAATACTTATCCATTCCACATATGCACGGACACACACACACACACACACTTGCAGACACAGACTATGATAAGCAGCGACGCAGCAGTTGCTGCGACGGCGTCGTCGACAATGGCAAACAACGACAACAAAAAGTCGCAATTGGAGAGCGAAGAAGGGGCCACAGTGTTGGGCACCGAGCACCAGCACATGCACAATAACAACAACAACAACAATAACAACGAGAACAGTGCTAAAACTAAACAACAACAAAAAGAGCAGCTGTCAGGCGATGGCAATGCAAATACCACAACAACAACAACAACAACAGCAGCAACAGCAAGAACAACAACGAATTGTGTCAAAGTGACGGCGGCAGCGGCGCCGGCAGCGACAGCCGCCGATTTGGACAGCAGCAAAACGGGTGAGCAGAGCTGCCAAGAGCTTCCCCCCCTCCCCTCCCCCCTTGCATAGCTCTCTTATTTTTGTTTTGATGCAATTTTCTGCCTTTAGCAGAGCGCAATCACAAGAAGAAGAAAAAAGATAAGGAACGCGAACGCGATGACGATAAGCGACACACAAGCAGCAACAGCAGCAGCGCCAAGGATCGCGAAACCAACAGCAACAGCCTCAAGAGCAGCAACAGCTCCAGCGGCAGCAAATCCTACACAACAAATCGTCACAGCAGCGACCACAAATCGAGTTCCAGTTCCTCAAGCGCCTCGCGGAGCAAAGACAAAAAGCAACACAGAAGCGATCGTGATAGAGAGCGGGAGCGCGAAAGAGAGAAGGTAAATAGAATGCAGCGAGAGAGGGAGAGTGTGTCCTAGACAGTGTGGCCAACTGACGCTACAAAAAGTAGCCGAATCCAATGTTAAAAACCGCTATAAATAGCCGTATTGCAAATAATAAGACATTAAGCTGGCAAAAAGTAGCTAAATTCAGCTACAATTTAAACTATGCCTCTAAAAGCATTGCCAAATGGGCATAGCTAGAAAATAGCTAGAAATAATTGACAACTTTAAAGCTAGAAAAGTCGCTATGGTATATTTATTATAATTTCTTATTTAAATTTAAGGCTACAGCACAGTTTTTTTAGATAATAGAAAAAACAGTCGGAAAGGGTTAAAGCTAAAATGCTTATAGCAAAATCTTGATCATTTTTTACGTGACAGAAAAATATAAATGCTTTTTGACGGCAATTATAAGAAATGCAGTCTGCGAAAAACTGCAGCTGTATCAAATTACTCTAAAAGAAAAGAAACCAGTTGAAAAATTCGTTTCTCAACGGAAAATGTTCTGCACTGCAAAATATCTGCAACAAACTAAGCAATTTACCAGCTGCACAATTCTCCCAATCTAACCACAAAAGTATTCAATCCAAAGTTAGCCGTGTCTTCTTAAATTGAAACCATTTTAATTAGCTGATGAATATGGTTATTTATATTAATTATTGTATTGCAAAACACGCTCAAGTCAAGCTGAATGCTACAACTTTTTTAATATGCGTTTAGTCCGAGTATAATAATAACAATTATAATTAACAACAGATACCATCGTCAGCGTCGAGCTGCTCATCGAACTCGCACTCGGATCGCCGCCGCAGCTCGGACAGCAGTCGCGGCAGCAGCAACAACAACAGCTCCAACAAGCTGCTGGTCATTAAAGAGGAGAAGGAGCGAGAGAGGGAGAAAGTGTCGATCGTGGAGTCAATCAAAGTGGAGGAGCCACAGAAAGAAAGTGGCGCGTTGACGGTACTTAACCACAGCAAAGACATCAAAACGGAAACCGAAATCAAAAAGGAGCCGATGGAAACGAAGCCATTGGTAAATGGCGATGCATTCAAAACATTGATAAAGACACGCGACGAGGTCACGCGACAGCTGAGCTTTGGCGCTGAGGCAGCTAAGCCCAAGGAGAACAGCAGCAGTAATGGCAGCAGCCAATCGTCTTCCATTTTAATGCCATCGCCGGCGCCAAAAACAATCAACAACAACAACAACAACAGCAGCAGCAGCAGCAGCGCCAATCATCATTCCTCCAGCTGCAGCGCGCGCAAATCCTCGTCCTCCTCCTCCAGCAATTCGTCGAGCAGCCATCACAAGACTTCATCGACTTCCTCGTCATCGTCCTCCTCGTCACGGCATTCATCATCCTTTTCATCGCGCGACTGCTCCAAATGTTATAAGCGCTCCAAGATTCGCCGCAGCAGCGTGGGCGTCCAATGCATCCAGCATGCGCCCGCTGCTGGCGCCTGGCAGACCAACTCTTTGCCCAAGCCCATGGCAAATCGAAAAGCGCCCGCCGGCCTTGAAAATCTCAAATACGGTCATTACTTTCAAGTGGAACAGTATCCCAATGGCGGCGCTTCGGTGGTGCATCTCTATCAGCATGAAATCGATGCACTGCCGCCACACGAAATGGAGGAGCTGGTGGATGAGTTCTTCAGCGTGTGCTTTGCGGAGGATGAGCAGGGCTATGCACACCATGTGATGGGCATTGTGCACGATGCCGCACGCTATATACCAGATCTGCTCGAGCACATGGCCGAGAACTATTCAACGCTGACGGTGAAGGCGGGCGTGCTGGGACGCAACTCGGACATCGAGACGTGCACGATGGCCCAATACAACGAACAGGTAAATGACGCACTGCATCCTTCAATCGGCAATTTATACTAATCTCTCATTCGCTTGCAGGTGGTGCGTAATTATTGCCAGGGCACCTTTCGCTATGGACCGCTGCATCAGATCAGTTTGGTGGGCAAAGTGCACGAGGAGGTGGGCGGCTTTTTTCCGGATCTCCTGGGACGCATCGAACAGAATCCCTTTCTGCGCAAGGCAAATACACAGCATATACATAAAAACATCTAAATAATAATTAATAATCCACATCCTTTAGACAATGCCCTGGGGTGTGAATTCCATACTGCAAACGGATCCGCGTCAATCGAACGATGGACCCATTCTGTGGATACGCGCTGGCGAACAGCTGGTGCCCACCGCGGAGCTGAACAGCAAGACGCCCCTCAAGCGACAGCGGTAAGTGCCATTTTTTCAAATTTACCCATTTGTATTTATAGAAACGTATTATACTAAACCCTCAAAATTATGTGCCTTTTGGTCCTTATTTGTTATCCAAAGAAAAATAATAGCTAACAAATCTTGTAACAATTTGATTAATTTTGTAAATAAATGTAATTGTTTTAAATATAAAATCTGTTAATTCTTAGTTTTAATTTTATTTATATTTAATATACACAACTTATATAGATAGATATAGGCAAATCTGATTACCTTGTTCAAATGATATCTTGCTTTAATATTGTATTATCTAAAGAAAAGTGTTTCTGTTACTTATATTTTAGTATGCTTAGATATATTTATAAAATAATGGTGCAACATTTTATTATTCCCTAATTTAAACCAAAATTTTATCAGTTTAACATTAGGCCTTAGCTTAGGCCTTCCGACTTCCATACTTTAGTCTGGGCTTCAAACTAGGAACCACCTTTATGCCCGATTATTTATAAAGATAAGCACATTACACTTTTTCTAGGAAATAGATCATTTCAATTTGTTTACGAGCTTTTACTAATACAAAATTAAGCTATATCTAAATTCTTTTAGGATTTCTCTTAAATATCGTTAATTAATTTGAACTATTTTGCCTTGCAGTACACGCATTAATGAGCTGCGCAATTTGCAGTATCTGCCGCGTTTGTCGGAGGCACGCGAAACCATGATCGAGGATCGGACCAAGGCGCACGCGGATCATGTCGGACATGGACACGAACGCATCACGACCGCTGCAGTTGGTGAGCTCTATAAATGAAAATGCATCTCAAACTCCAAATGCCTCCAACTGTTTTTTTTGGTGCCCATATTCCTATCCTGCGTTAGCCAGAGTCTCACCCTTCATGCTAACGTCCCCTTTAAATCTCTCTACTTCTTTTACTCAACATTTCATCTTCTAATCTCATCTCTTTGCATCTTCCCAGGCATACTCAAGGCGGTGCACTGTGGACAATCATATGACCAGAATCGCATCACCAAGGATGTGGTCGCCTTTGCCGCTCAGGACTTTAATACGCTGGTCGAGATGCTTCAGTTGGATCTGCACGAGCCGCCCATTTCGCAGTGCGTGCAGTGGATCGAGGATGCCAAATTGAATCAGCTGCGCCGCGACGGCATTCGCTATGCCCGCATCCAGCTGTGCGACAATGACATCTACTTTCTGCCGCGCAACATTATACACCAGTTCCGCACCGTGACGGCTGTGACGAGCATAGGTAAGGCGCTCATCCTTAGACGAGTTGGGAACGCAATTAATGTTCCGTTTTCTTGTTAGCTTGGCATCTGCGCTTGCGTCAGTATTATCCCGGCCAGGAGGTAATCAATGAGCAGAACAATCCGGTGCTGGCCGAGACGCCGCACTACAAAGAGAAACAAACCATATTGCCCCATCCCATTGGCCACGATGATTCCGGCAAGAAGACGCCCTCGAAACGCGCACATGACGGAAAGGCCAAACGCAAGCTCATCGACTTGGATGGCAAGGAGCGTCACTCCAGTGAAAGCAGCCAGGATGATCATGCCTCCTCGGCAAGTGCCTCGCCCACGCAACAGACCAACAACAATAACAACAGCAGCGGGAGCGGCAGCGGCGGCAGCAGCGGTACGCCCAAAAAGAAACCGAGCAAAGATGACTCCAAAATAGACATGCGCAAAATGGTTCTGGAACACAAATACAAGCTGACCAAAGCGGCGGCCTCGGAGCATGCCAAGCCATGCAGCAAGGACAAAGAGAAGTCCAATCGTGATAAAGACAAAGATAAGGATAAGGAAAAGGAGCGCAGCAAAAAGTCGGAGCATAAAACGGATATGCCAACGCCAGCAAAAATACCGCGCCTGGCCAACGAATCAGTGGCAAGTGCTGCGCCTGTCGCCCCACCAGCAGCTGCCACGCCTCTGCCGCCGCCGCCGCCGGCCTTGCTACCGCCGCTGCCGCTAGTGCCTCAGACGCCCTTCATCCATCGCGAAGCGTACGTAAATAGCCTGAATCAAAAGGAGCCCGAAATCAAAATACAGCTCAAAATGGTATCCGATGAGCCCAGCAAAACCGAGATCGCCAGCTGCACGGCGCCCGTATCGCCGGCGCCCAATCCCGTTGAGGATGTGGCCAACGAGCTGATTGTGGAGAGCACGCCGCAGCTGGTGGTGGATCACGAGGAGGAGGTGACAGAGCTGTGCGAGGAAATAATTCCACTGGACATACCTCCACCCGACCCTGCACCAGCTCCATCGCCGGCAGCCACGCCAGCGCCACCATTGCCAGTTGTGCGCCTCGCGCAGCCACCCTTGCCAGCAGCAGCAGCTGCTGCCGCCCCACCACCCCAAGTTGTTAAAGTTGTGCTGCCCGCTGCAACGCTGACACCGCTCGTGGGTCGCCTCTCGGCCGTGGTGCTGACGCCGCCCTTGCCGCCCATGCCATTGCCACCGCCGCCGCCGCCGCCACCACCACCAGCCAAGAGCCACAACAACAGCCAGAAACCAACTCCAACAACAACAGCAGCAGCAGCAGCAGCAGCATCATCAGCCACAACAACAACAGCCAGCAGCACCACCTACAAAACGTTCAATTTGCCCTCGCACAAGATCATTTTAACGGGCAGCAGAGCTGCAGCCAAGGCGACAGCCGTGACGCCAGTCGATCTGCTCGGCTCCATTATGGCCAGCATGGACAATAAGCCCAGTATCACCAGCTCCAGCTCAGGCAGCGCGTCCTCAGCCGCGAGCACTGCCCCCGGCCCCGGCGGCAGCAGCACGGCAACCAACGCGAATCCATCGCTCTCCTCCTACGCCAGCTCCAACAACAGCTACTGAGATTGCGCTGCCAGCAGCCCAGAGGCTTCTCCCGGCGTTGTCCGTCACATCGCCACAATAATTGCAGCTATATAGGCAAGAAAAAGAGAAGGTATTGTTGCAAATTGTTTATTATTATTATTATTTTTTTTTTTTCTTGTAAATTGTTTCGATTTGGCCACGTGATGAGGCCACGTTGTTGGCGTCTAACGCAAGCGGGCGCTTTCACAGTTCGCCCGAAAATCGTTTATTGTATATAGTTAAAGGGGCGGGGCGTGCCGCCCCTTATATATTATATTTGATAACTGTAGTTGATTAAGCTCAAAAATGCTAAAAATTACTTTTAGACATGTAGTTTTTTAATTTATTACCGCAGGCACATTAAGATACACACACACACACACACACACCACACACAACATTGGCAACTGTTAGAAGAACTTTGAGATACTTTGGTAGGCGCGTAAAATATATATATATTTATATATATAAATCTGTATATAAGCATAATGTGCGCGCACATTGGCCGCGTATTTTTTACAAGTCAAACTAAAGTGCAAAATGCGCCCAGTTATAAATCTTTTAATTTTGCAACTTTTTCCTAACGACTTTTCGGCAGACACACACACACTCATATATATATATATATATATATATATATATATATATATAACACACATATATAAATGTAGACTTAAAGCCAATGCACGTTGAAGAAACAATAAAGATTCGGATCGTACAAAAATGCAAGTGAAAAAGCATCTTTAATATGGTCAAAAGAAAACTAAATAAATAGAATGATTTTAAAACAAGCTGGAACAGATATATATATATATAATAAAATATATATAAAATATAATAAAATATAAATATCTTCCACAATTAACAAATTCGGCCTTAACTTGACCAATGCGAGAACAATCAGTAAGTCCTTCCAGCTAAAGCAAAATTAAACTGTTTTTTGTTTTTAATCTTCAAATTCAAATATCTCGGATAAACAAAGTCAACTCGAGAACTCATTTTCTTAAATAGGATTAAAGTTGATTGTTGTTGATTTCAATCTATTCCATGAATGGAATCTAAAATTCCAGTTAAGATTCATGGGATAGATTGGACTTGGCATATCTTTCCAAAATCGGACTTCATTTAACTAAAAGTTATGGAAATTGCGATTTTGAAAAATGTTGTTTTAACAACTCATATTAAGGCCGATTTTCGTGGCATATTGCCCTCGTTAAATAATGACAATTTAAAAATAATACAAAAATCAAATATTTAATAGCTAGAAAATAATACATAAGAATCAAATGTAGATATAAACCAAATTTAAGCTACGTTTAAGTAAACCAAACCAAGGATAGTGGCAAAGGCCAAGGGAATGCTTGGAATATTTAAAGCTTGGAGCGCAGCTCCTCAATGCGACCCTGCGCCGAGCGCTGCAAGTCCATCAGCTTCATGGCAAAGCCCATGTTGCCCTGTATCTTGATCTTGCCCTGGAAGAAGGCCTTCTGGGGCGGCAGCTTGCCCGTCAACAGATCAAAGACATCATCATCGCTGATTATAAAGGTGACATCACATTTTTCTGCAAATGCAATTGGATCATTAATCATAAGCTATTCCTCATTTCCTTAGGTGTTTTTCACTTACGTGTGCCATTGAAGATGACCTTGCCCTTGCCCTGCTTGGCATCGATTACCCAGTAGCCCGTCTGTCCTTGGGGTCCATTGTTCACCCTAAAGCCGTATACAGCGCGCACCTTCTCAATTAGATTGTCCTTGTCCTCCTGCATGGCCTGCTCGAGCAGCTTCAGCAACGGCGACACTTTGAAGCCCTCCTCACTATCCGCCAACTTTGCGCCAGTCAAATTGTGCCTGACGCGGCTGGCACCTGGAAAACCCAGGCGATAGAGTGCCACCACCACAGCACCTCCCAGACCCAGGTTGTGCTGCAGGGCCAGCTGGACATTGGGCACCTGGCGCTTCTCGGCGAGGCCACGCAGCTGCCAGCAGAGCTCGGCGCATTGAGCCAAGCCAGTGGCGCCCAGCGGATGGCCCTTGGAGATGAGACCGCCACTGGGATTAATCACAAATTTGCCGCCATACGTGTTGTCGCCACGATCGATGAACTCGCCGGCCTTGCCCTCGCCGCAGAGACCCAACGCCTCGTAGGTGACCAGCTCATTGGCCGAGAAGCAATCGTGCAGCTCCACGACCTGCACATCCTGCGGCTTATAGCCGCTCTTGGCGAACAGGCGTTCCGCGGCAAGCCGAGTCATGTCGTAGCCAGCAATCTTCATGAGGCTTTTGTCGGCAAAAGTCGACTCTGGGTCGCTAGCCATTTCCATGCCCACAATCTCCACGGCCTGCTTCTCCAGACCATGGCGTCGCACGAACTGCTCGGAGGCCAGAATGGCGGCTCCAGAGCCATCCGATGTAGGACAGCACTGCAGCTTGGTCAGCACGCCCTCCACCACCTGCGGCGACTTCATAATCTGCTCCAGACTGTATTCATCGCGGAACTGCGAGTAGCTAATCACAAAACCGATTAGATATAGATCTATAACAATTGGTAATTGCACTTACGGATTATTGACAGAGTGCTTGTGGTTCTTCCAGGCGATCTTGCCAAAATGTTCCGGCTTTGTGCCGTACTTCTTCATGTGTTCCTTGCCGGCATTGCCGAAGATCTGGGCAGCCATGGGTCCAGGTCCGATTTCCGTCAACGCACCCATTTCGGTGATGTGACGCTCCATGGGATTGGCACGGTCAAAGTACTAACAATGAAGAGAGTTCTGTTAAGCATTTTAAGCCAAGTCCAAAATGGATTTCAGCATACCTTTGATGATAACGAACCGCGCTCCATTTTCTCAAAGCCCAGAGCCAGCACACAGTCTGCGCTGCCCGCCTCGATGATCTGCTTGCCCAGGTACAAGGCACTCGAGCCCGTGGAGCAATTGTTGTTCACATTGTAGACGGGAATGCCTGTCATGCCCACTTCATAGACCGCACGCTGGCCACAGGTGGAGTCGCCATAAACATAGCCGACAACAGCCTGTTGCACATCCGTGTACTGGAGTTTGGCATCCTGCAGCGCCTTGGTGACTGCCTCCTTGGCAAAGTCCGGATAGCAGACGCCAGCGCGGCGACCAGGTTTCTCGAACTGGGTGAAAGGTCAAATTCATTAAGTCCAAATGCTAATACTTATAGCCAGAGTATTTAATCGGAGATTTAGATTACGCAGCAACAACAAGATTTCTACTTTTATAGAGAGATTGAAGTGCGACGTAGTTCAAAGTCCGAGTGCGATAATTGTTGCGAAGTGCATGAAGCAACTTGTGGGGCAGCCTCAGCTTTTGCTTTGTTGCAACGGTCCCAACATATTTACATGGATGTGCTTTCGTGTTTCTTTATTTACCTTGGTCATGCCAACACCAACAACATAAACTCGGGTTTTGGTCATTTTGTTGCTAATACTTAGTTAATTCGATGGACAAAAACAAGTGCAACCGCAACGGCTCGGCTTTAATCAATTAATGAAATCCAGTTAAGGCCCACAAAACAAGTATCGCTGCCGTTATAAGAAACCATCGATAATCACAATCGATACTTTTAAGCAACGTTTTACAACACTGGTTCGTTGAGCCGCCAAATGTGATAATTCCTCCAGCCGGACTTACGCAGCTCGTTCTCATTGCTAAAAAAGCGGACAATGTTATTTTGCCAGTGAAAACCTGATGGCACTGCATCTCAAAGGAATCCTCCACATCGCAGCAATCCGCATCCTTGCTCATCGAAAAAAGAGCAGCCAGTCGGTGCTAATACTGTGGCGGCAGCTCCAGATATGCGATCTGTCCATGGCTGTGCAGCGGTCCGCTCAGCGCTCCATGAATGCAGCATGACGCAGCAGTAGGAGGTTAGTTCGCTGCGCTAAATAAAAGTCCAATGCACACTGGCACGATCCTGCGGCGACAATTGACGCAAATCCTTGCCGTCCCACAAATCGTCGCAGCAGCAGTCCAGCTTAATGTCTGCGGTGCCCTGTCTAAAGAGCGACAGATAGCCGCCGGGATTCTAACACAGCACCACCGACAAGGAGTGCGGGAATGCAACCTTCAACTTGGACGACAGCTGCAGCTGGCAAAGCGTATGTCCCGGCGCACCACATCCGTTTGCTGTAAAGTTAATAAAAGGAGCTGAAGAGGCGTTTCAAATAAACGTAAGTTATTTAAAATATTTTTTTTAATTATTTTTTTTTTTTATTTTTTTTTTTAACATATTTTAATGGCGAATAACTGTTTATGTTAACATACTTTGCTATTACATGAAATCGCTAACAGTTGAAATGTTAAGCTGCTGTAAAAGCTATTGTTAACACCCCTCCGCTCTGTGCCAGGCATTTATTTACATTTTAATCATTTATAAGTTAGGATACAAAATTCTTTAACGTACTAGCTAGCGCAGGCAATGTGGGCTTGAATATTAAGAAATATGGTGCCTATTTCCGGCTATCACAAGGATCAATTACAAAGGCGAAAGCTCCGCAACACCGGCAGAAGCGGCAGTTTCTTTGTTGTTGGTACATTTTGCACCTGTTGCTGCAAAATGTGTTCTGGCTTCGCATTTTACCGCAAATAGAAAATTACTCTCTCTCTCTATGTTTACATATTGTTCGTTTTGGTTGTGCGAATTGCATGTGTGCGTTGCCAAGTGCCTGTTGCGCCGCTGCCAGTATTTTGCTTACAGTTGGCAACGCTATCAACTCGGCGCTAAGGGTGTAGCAAAATAATCGAATTAGAGATGAACGCGCTTCGAATTGCCGATACCTTTCGAATATTGCTCGCATTTATTTCTGCATAACTTTCACATTATTATCCTATAAATGGTAAATAGCACTAATTGAAACATTTTAATTGCCAATTTCGATTACGGGCACTCGTTCAGCTGCAAAACTGCCTGTGTTTTGGTCTGGCATTACGATACTTTGTGCTTGTCATCGGTGATGTATCATCGATAGGCCAACTATCGTGGCATATTCTGTGAATTCGATTGTTTGTCCATACATTTTGTGCATCTTTTGTTGTTGAAGAATTGCAATTTAACTATATTTGACTAAGTACAAAAACAATCGTGAAATACATTATTTGTTTTGGATTCTGTCAAACAGTATAAAGTATGTATAAAATGTTATCTGGCTCACGCTCCTAAGCTTGCATTTCCTATATTTGTCTCGCCTCCTTTCTTCCAAAAAGGATTGGCAAACCTGGACGATCAATTTTCATTGTCTCTTCAACTTGCACTTGAGATTAATTCAACGAAAAAACTAACACGATGTACAATAACAAGAGAAAAGGTGTAAAGTGTAGAATTAAAGCATGCTCGCGAAGCTACAGAAACGGCCCGCTTGTGCGACTGTTCAAATTTCCCAGCAATGACGCTCTTCGTCGCGAATGGATCGCGAGTTGTGGACTCCCACAGGATATTGATACGCGCAATGCGTATCTTTGCGATTTACATTTTGAAAAATTCTGTTTTTTCAAAAAGAAAATAAGATCAGAAGCAGTGCCAACCCTGCATTTGCCAGAGCCTTCGAAGTCGAACATAGACATACCAAAAGCACCGGATAATATGGTCGCAAGCCCGATTCGTAGGCAAGCCGACCCGATTGACAATATTCCGGTATTTATAAATAAATATACAAAAGTAAGCAAGGGAACGCCTAACGTTAATGTATGTATATGCTAGATATGCAGTCGCATTGTGGACAACACAACAGATGTGGAATTAGAAGTATGCCGTGCCTGCATGACCAGCTCAGTGGCGCTCGTGGATATCTTCGCCGATCAGAGGCAACCCAGTCTGGCAGATATGCTAAACGAGTGTGTCGCCTCGATCATCGTCCAACGAAATGATGAGCTGCCGCAGAAAATATGCCTCTCGTGCATTTGTGATCTACAAACGGCATTTGATTTCCAGCGCAGGTGTGAGCAAAGCCATCAGAAGTTACGGGAAATGGTTAATAAACGTAAGATGGAACCCGCAATAAATATGGAAATGGCAGACGAAGACATGGACATAGCTCGGCTCAGGATGGAAATAGACGAATTGTTGCGCAGTGGGGATAAATTGCCAGAGGATCAAATGGAATTCCTGCCTGAAAATGATAACAACGCAAATGCACCCCTAAGTATTTTCAGTTCTCGGGATGTTAGTACTATACCCGCCTATAACTCCAATCAAAGGCAGTCTAGCCTTCTGCTGGATGGCACAAATCCAAGCAACAGAGAGGTTAATGTCCGGTCCGAGCTGCTTGAAGTAGAAAGCTGGGAACTGGCCGGCCGTTACAATGAAATAGGCTGCAGCAAAGATGTAAAGGATAAAGAGGATAACATTAAGGGGCAACAAACTCAACTAAGCTCAAAGAACTACGAAGAATGCAACGCAGAGCGCAGTTCTCTTGCTGTTGACGAGCCTGGAATAGATACTAAAACTAAGCAATTTATATGCCCACACTGCCAGAAAGATTTTGTAATTGAATCCACCTTCAAACTTCATATTCTTACGCATACGAACGAACTACCGCATCAGTGTCCTCACTGCCCCAAAGCCTTTAAATATTCCGCGAAACTGCGCTCACACATCTATATTCATGGAGGTAAAACGGCCTTCAAGTGTCATTACTGCAGAAGATACTTTTTAGAGAAAGCCAAGTACGATGAGCACACGCGTTATCATATTGGGCGCCAGGCTTACAAATGTCCACACTGTCTAAAAATCTTTACTAATTCTACGTATTTTAAAAACCACCTTGCAGCCCATTCTCGAATAGAAACTAAGAAAAAACAATTTATATGTGCACATTGCCAAAAAGCCTTTAAAATGGAATCTTCCCTCAAACTTCACCTTCGTAAGCATACGGGCGAACGACCGTATCGTTGTCCTCACTGCCCCAAGGCCTTTAGACAGTTCAACGGTCTGCGCTTACACATCTTTTCTCATGGAGGTAAAACAGCCTTCCAGTGTCCTCACTGCAAAAAATGCTTTTTAGAGAAGGCCCATTACGAAGAACATAGGCGGCATCATATTGGGCGCCAGGCTTACAAATGTCCACACTGTCCAAAAATTATGTCTCGTCCTTCAAGGTTAAAAAAGCACATTAGAACTCATACCGCCAAAAACAGTGAGGTAATTGGCCAGTCTGAGCAAAACTCGAAGCTGACCGAGCAGGAGAATGAAACAGGCTGCAGCAAAATAGTAGAGGATAAAGAAGATGGCATTAAGGACCTACAAACAGAACTAAGCTCAAAGAGCTACGAAGAATGCAACGCAGAGGGCCTTGAATTTACTGTTAAAAAGCATCGAATATATCCAACAAAAAACCTATTTAAATGCCCACACTGTACAAAAGCCTTTGTATTTAAATCTAGCCTCGATATGCACATTCGTACGCATACGGGCGAACGACCATTTCAGTGTCCACATTGTCCCAAAAAATATACACTGTTCGCGGGTCTGCGCGGACACATCCTAAGTCATGAAGGCAAAACTTCCTTTAAATGTCCTCACTGCAGAAAATACTTTGTAGAGAAAGCCAAGTACCATGAACACACCCTATATCACATTGGGCCCCAGGCCTACAAATGTCCACACTGTCCAAAAATCAGTACTCATCCTACAAAGTTTCAAATGCACATTCGAACTCATCTCCCAAAAGTCAAGTCCAAACAGCTTGAAGTAAAAAACTCGCAGCTGGCCGAGCAAGATAATAAAATAGGCTGCAGCAAAGTAGCAAAGGATAAAAAAAGATAACATTAAGCAGCAACAAGCAGAGCGAAGCTTAAAGAGCTACTAAGAATGAAGAATTGATATGCCCACATTGCCAAAAGGCCCTTAAGAGAAAATTTAGCCTCACCCTGCCTCAAAGAGTTTTAAACAGTTCATGAATCATTTGCACAACCATATCTTTACTTATGCAGATAAAGCTCCCTACAGGTGTCCTTACTGCAGAAAACACTTTTTATTGGCCACCGAGTGTCTACACTGTTCAAAAATTCTTGCATTATTCTGACTTGCTCAAATCGCACTTAAGAACTCACACCAGAAAATGGTTATGAATTAAATTTAGGATAACCACAGTCCAATATAATCATAAATATATTTTTATATACATCAATCATCGAACAAAAAAAAACCACTATCATTAAAATGGTTTTATAATTGATAACATAAATTCTGAAAAGTCTATTTTGCATATGGATTTAAACATTTTTAACATGTTTGTTTTAAAATTATAATGTATGTATTATGTGTGTTAATGTATCCTAATGTATGTGTTTCACATTTTAAATACACAATAGTCTCCGCCAAATAGAAAAATCGATATATTTAATGATTCATCATCGATAGATAACTGCTAATCGATAGATAACTCTCGCAAATTCATCGTCAAATAGTATCGTTTCTGCACGACACGACAATTTCTTATGCCTACTCGAATTATTTGGAAATTCCTTAAGTCAGGTGACCAAATCTGGGAATTACCGGTACGCTTAGCACAAGTAATGTAGCTTTGGTCTATCTCGCTTTGTGAATATTAACCGACATCACTAAGCGTTAATAAAATCGTTAAATCGACAAAAAGATTTTGCTATATTTGTGCAAATATAGTTCAAGACGAAGACGCTTGCTTTAAATTTTTTTTTATGACCTGCGCAAATAAGTTTGCTTAGTGTGCGTCAAACTTCGAGCATCCTGTCACTTTCTTGCTGCATGTACATATGTTTGTTTAATTTAATGTAGAGCCCCGAGATGCATCTTTGTATGCATGCTGGTGTATATTGCTGTCTCGCTCGCACTAGTTGAACAGGACCCAAGAAAAGCTCGATACACATCTGTTTGAATGCATATTGCAAAAATGCCTCCTTTCCTGCGACAGTAAGAAGAATAGAACCGATTTTAGTTGACAAAGAGCCACGCAAAGAAGTGGTTGACATTGAGCGATTTATCTGACGAACGAACAATAAGAACGCAATGAACAATAAAAAGCGAAGTGGTGTCAAGTGCATTGTTAAGTCGTGCAGGCGCAGCTACAGGAAAGGCTCTTCGGTGAAAATGTTTCGGTTTCCCAAAAAGGAGAGCCTTCGCCGTCAATGGATGGAAAAATGTGGCTTGCCCCACGATTTTAAGAAGCGTGCGTTCATTTGCGATTCACACTTTGAAAAGGAGTCCATCGGCAAAAGGTTCTTAAAATCGAATGTAGTCCCCACCCTGAATTTGTTTGACCCTTCAGAAGCGAATATAGTCACTTCTGAGGAACTGGGCGGAATCACAATTTGTAAAGATGACGACACACTCGAAGATATTTCGGTATTTACATATAAATATACATATGACGAAACATTTGTATGTTTAATGATAATATATGCTAGATTTGCAGAAGCTTCGTGGACGCAACACCAAATGGGGAAGTATGCCGTGCCTGCATGACCAGCTCAGTGGCACTTGTGGATATCTTTGACGATCAGAGGCAGCCCAGTCTGGCGGATATGCTAAACGAGTGTGTGACCTCCATCGCAGTCAAACGAAATGATGAGCTGCCGCAGAAAATGTGCCTCTCGTGCTTTTGTGATCTACAAACGGCATTTGATTTCCAGCACAGGTTTAAGGAAAGCCATCAGGTGTTAAACAAAAAGCTAAATGAAATTAAGGTGGAATCCGCAATAGATATAGAAATGCCAGAGGAGGACATGGACATAGCTCGGCTCAGGATGGAAATAGACGAATTGTCGAGCAGTGGGGATAAATTGTCAGAGGATCAAATGGAATTCATGCCTGAAGATGAGTGCAAACCAAATACACCCATAAGTACTTTCAGTTCTCGGAACGTTAAAACTACACGAGACAATGAAATAGGCTGCAGCAAAAATGTAAAGGATAAAGAGGATAACATTAAGGACCTACAAACTGAACGAAGCTCAAAGAACTACGAAGAATGCACCGTGGAGCGCCACGAAACTTGCAATCCTCTGGCTGTTGACGAACCTGGAATAGATACTAAAAAAATGAATAGATACTCTTGCCCACAATGCCGAAAAGCCTGTACGTGTAAATCTACCCTCAAACTTCACCTTCGTTCGCATACGGACGAACGCCCGTATAAGTGTCCACACTGTCCCAAAGCCTATAAACAATTCACGGGCTTGCTTTCACACATCTATACTCATGGAGGTAAAACTGCCTTCAAGTGTCCTTACTGCAGAAAATACTTTTTAGAGAAAGCCAAGCTCGATGAGCACGCGCGCTATCACATTGGGTACCGGGCATACAAATGTCCACACTGTCCAAAAATCTGTACGGCTTTTGTGTATCTCGAAAAGCACATTCGAACCCATTACGGAGAGAACAGCGAAGTGTGCAATCCCACTGTTGTTAACAAACCTAGAATAGAAACTAAAAATGGCAAATTTATATGCCCACATTGCCCGAAAGCGTATACGCTTAAATCCTCCCTTAGAAATCACCTTTGTACGCATTCGGATAAACGATTATTTAAGTGTCCACATTGCCCAAAAAAATATAAAATGTCCTGGAATCTACGCATACACATCCTTACTCATGAAGGGAAAACTGCCCTTAAGTGTCCGCATTGCAGAAAATACTTTTTAGAGAAGGCCAAGCTCGATGAACACACGCGATATCATATTGGGCACCGGGCTTACAAATGTCCACACTGTTCAAAAATCTATACTCATCCATCATTTTTTAAAGACCACATTGCAACTCATCCCACAGATAACAGTGAGGTAAATGTCCAGTCTGAAAGTGTTGAAGTAGAAAACTCGGAGCTGGCCGAGCAAGACAATGAAGTGGGCTGCAGCAAAGCAGCAAAGGATAAAGCAAATAACATTAAGAAACAACAAATTAAACTAAGCTCAAAGAGATCCAAAGAATGCAACGTGGAGCGCAAATCTCTTGCTGTTCACGAGTCTGAAATTGATGCTAAAAAGAAACAATTTGAATGCTCGCAATGCCCGAAAACCTATAAGAATAAATCTTCGCTCAAAATGCATATGCGTACGCATTCGGACGAACCACCGCTTCAGTGTCCACACTGTCCCAAAACCTTTAAAAAGTCCGCGAATCTGCGCACACACATCTTTACGCATGCAGGTGAGACTCCATTAAAGTGTCTTTACTGCAGAAAATACTTTTTAGAGAAAGCCGAACACGATGAACACGCGCGCTTTCACGTTGGGCCCCGGGCTTACAAGTGTCCGCACTGTCCAAGAGTGTGTCATCGTAGAAATTTGGGAAAGCACATTAACACTCATACCAAGAAATGTGTTGAGGAATAAAATTTGGGAAATTCCAGAAACACAGAAATAGAATTGAAATTATCGACCCTTTTTGTCCGCTTAAGAGGAGTACGACGAAATTTAAATGGTTTAATAATAAGTTGTTGTAATACATAGTTCTCTATAAGTGCTTACATTTTAAGAGTCTGTTTTGCATATGGTTTTCTAGATTCTTTAAATGTTCAAAAGCGATGTGGTCGTTATTTAGAAATTGCTTTAAATTTGCAATGTATATTAAAGCGCTTTTAACCGTCTTTAGCTCACAGGAAAGTTCAGCTACAAGATCCGTATCCGTGTTGCTGTTGTCATCAATTACGAATACCGTATCGCTACTATCGATTTCCGTTTCTAAAAACTGATGAACATCCAATGGGTTTACATCGGCTGATTGTGCTCCTGGTTCACATCGCGAATTAATGTTGTGTCTCTTGCGCCACCTTTGGAGCCAACCGTTGGAGGCTGCAAAGTCGTCAATGCCGAGGCTCGTTGCGAGCTCCTTCGCTTTCTCTTGTATAGCTGAACCAGATATTGGAGTATTATGCGCACTGCTAAGTTTACAGAACCAATCGTAGCACATGGAGTCGAGTTTTTTGCCGTCTGTATTCAGGAAACTTCTTTTCGTATTGATGTTTTCACCGGACAACCATCTCGACCGAATTGTTTCTCTGTCGCGAACAATGAGCGCAGCTTGTGTCTTTCCTATGTTGAACCTGTTAACGAATATATTTATGGTTTAATTTTTTATCAATTTTCTTTGCATGCAGTTTTACCTTTTGGCTAATGCACGCACTGATGAATTAGTTTGATCATATGCGCTTATAACCTCCATTTTTTCCTTTAAACTAAGTACTTTTTTTCTTTCCATTCTGAAGTTTTCAATATAAAGGCCGGTAAAAGTAATACTGAAAAAAACGCTGTTTGGGTAAATCCCCAAATTAGGTTTCGGTTTTTGGTTTTGTTTGCCTCGCGTCGATAGCTAAAGGATTTCCTAAAAATGAGTTGTCCGCTTCATGTTGTAAGGGAGTCCGTCCAAGAGGTTAGATATTCACATAGACAGCTTCTTTACTGAGCGCTAAAATGCTCACATTAATGAACATCTAATTCAGAAATGTGAATAAATTGGGTTTTGTTTTTATTCTGGCATATGTATACGTTGTGTTTATCATTAGTGATGTGGCATCGATTCGATAGTTCTTGAGATGGTCCATCTTTGGTTAAGTGTTGTACTCGATACCTTAAAATTGTTGTTTACATTGCCACTGGCTTATAACACTCCGGCGTATGTTAGTTATTGCAAGAAATTATCAAATTAAATACTTTAAATTGCAATGTCACATGATTTCATCCACGAAATTACGTGCACTTCAAACAATTCGATTTAAAATGTTTTCCGCCATACTTTATGCTTGTCATCAGTGATATAATATCGATAAGTCAACTATCGCGACATACTCTCGAAAATTTGATAGTTCTTGATTTTGTCCATCTCTTGTTGTTGTTGAATTGTAATTAATATGTATAAGGAAGTTTCGCTGAAATTTAATGAACACAACCATGGAACAAGTATGCCGCACTTGCATGACCAGCTCAGTGGCACTCGTTGATATATTCACCGATCAGAGGGAACCAAGTCTGGCAGCTATGTTAAACGAGTGCGTCGCCTCCATAAAAATAGAACCAAATGATGAGCTGCCGCAGAAAATGTGCCTCTCGTGCATTTGTGATATACAAACGGCATTCGCCTTCAAGCGCAGGTGCGAGAAGAGCCATCAGGTGTTAAGCGAGAAACTTAAGAAATGCAAGATGATGAGTGCAATTAAAGTAGAAATACCAGAGGAAGACATAGACCTGGCGCGGGTTAAGATGGAAGCAGACGAATTGTTGAGTACTGGCGACAAAATGGAATGCAAACCTGAAGAGGGGAATATTGATAGCTCCAATCAAACCTCTTCTAGCACTCTGCTGGATAGCGCAAAACTAAAGAACAGCGAGCTGAATGTCCAGTCCGAACTGCTTGAAACAGAAAACTGGGAACTGGCGGAGCAGGACATAGATCTAGGCCATGTCAAGGTCGAAAAGGATAATGAGGATTATATCAAGGAGCAACAAGCTGAAACTGAAGTTTTCAATCCCACTGCTGCTGGCGAGATGCCTTCTGGCATAGATATGAAAAAAGGCCAGTTTATGTGTCCGCACTGCAAAAAAGCATTTACTCAAAAATCCCACCTCAATGCACATATTCGTACGCATACGGGCGAACGGCCATTTCAGTGTCCACACTGCTCGAAGGCGTTTAGTCAGTCGTCGAATCTGCGCAAGCACATCAGCATCCATTCCGGTGAACGTCCCTTCAAGTGTCCCCATTGCCTGAGAGCGTTTATGCGGCACACGGATCTTCAATACCATGTCTCCACGCATCCAGGCAAACAAATCTACAAGTGTTCGCAGTGCACAAGATACTTTATCGAGGAGGCCGAGCTGGAGGAGCATATGCGGTATCACAGCGGAGAGCGTACCTACAAGTGCACAGAGTGCCCCAGGGAATTTGTCTATGCCTGGCAACTGCAGCGACATATTCGAACGCACACGGGCGAGCATCCCTTCAAGTGTCCACACTGCCCCAAAAATTGTATAGATAAGGGAGATCTGGGCAGGCACATACGCTCCCACACCGGCGAGCGTCCGCACAAGTGTCCGCACTGTCCAAAAGCCTTCACTCGCGCTGCCTATCTCAAAACGCACATTGGCACTCATGCCGAGAGTTCGTGTTAACAATTTTAATTTAAAACAAATTATTTTTCGAGATACTCAAAGATAATTACATATTTATTTGTATATATATATATATATTAGTATTTATTCATATAGATAGGAACTAAATATTAAGTAATAACATTCAAAATTGTTTAATATAAATATTTAAATCAAACTCAGTCAGCCTTTAAAAGTATTCACATTCAAAAGCTATTCGAGTCCACTGCTTGAGCTTAATATAAGTATCGATACCAAACGGTAATAAGTATCGATAAATTGCATGCGATAACTTGAGAAGAAAAAGTGTTGGCAATTGATTGCATTGAACGAATCTATGATTTTTTATGCCTGCACGTAACAAAAACAAATAAGAGCAACTTCTAAATGGATGCCAGATTGGATGTAAGTACTTAAAGCAAACAATCGACAACAATTGGCAATACATATTTATTGTCTTCAACGAATTCATAGATGTTTGAGGACGTCAACACATCGCCCTCTCTGGAGGGTGACATGTCCATACCGGGTAAACGGACTACAACAACAACAACAGCACAGCACGGTGTGCCCGAATACAATACCCTGGACGAGCCCATACGCGAAACGGTGCTAAGGGATATGCGCGCCGTTGGCATCAAGTTCTATCATGTGCTCTATCCCAAGGAGAAGTCGAGTCTGCTGCGCGATTGTACGTCATCAGAATGCAGCCAGTTGTTGAATGCGTCAGCAATTTGTAAAATGTGTGCACTTTCTGTTTACAGGGGATTTGTGGGGTCCATTGGTGCTGTGCACATTTATGGCCACCATACTGCAAGGCTCCTCGTCTGCGGACAGCATGTCCGACAATGGACCAGAATTCGCACAGGTCTTTGTGATTGTTTGGATAGGCGCAGCCATCGTAACGCTCAACTCCAAGCTCCTAGGTGGCAATATGTAAGTATATATATGTCTAAAACCATATACCATAAACTGTGTCTACCCTTGTGGACAATCGGCTTACGGATGTTAACTTGAAAAGCGAAATATTTTGTTAACCAAATACTTTTTCGCATCGACTGGTTCTTTCCATGTCAGCTATATCATATGCTCCTCCGATATCGATAAGCCTTTGCTTTTATGTAGGTCGCATATTAACAATTCTAGCTGCCGTCAAGATATTCAAAGTTCTTCATGACCGATGATTCCTTTTATCTCAAGTTAACTCAAAAAACAAAAGAGTTCATACACGAACTGAATAATACACGAATATTATTGGTCCTACTTGACCCCCTTCATGATCACAAACAGATATTGACTATGTTCTTAACGAGCATATATCAGGTCGGAGTCGTCTTCTCTGCTCGACACACTTAATGACAAAATTCGAAAACCTTTTTCTAGCTCGTTCTTTCAATCGGTTTGTGTGCTCGGCTACTGCCTGACGCCCGTGGCGCTGTCTTTGATCATCTGTCGCATCATCTTGCTGTCGACGCAGACACGTTTTCTCTTCTTTCTGCGCTTTGTGACCACAACGCTGGGCTTTGCCTGGGCCACATATGGTAAGTTGGCCTGAAGTACATGTGGCTTATAATAATAATAATATAATTTCATTTAATTGTACAGCATCGTTCATATTTCTGGGCCAAAGTCAACCGCCGCATCGCAAGCCGCTTGCCGTGTATCCCATATTTCTGTTTTTCTTCATCATATCATGGCTAGTCCTGTCCCATAATTAGTTATTAGTTTAAGTTTATTAACTGAACCGCAACTTTCCATAGCATAACCAAATCGATTGTAAATTAACGTATTTAATTTGAGAAATTGTGTAAATTGTGGTTTTTTGATTTATTTTATTTACTTTACTCTTAAGATCTTACAAATTATATATATATATATATTTATATATATGTATGCATATATGTTCGATTGACTCTGGCCGCGCTACACGTCCAGGCTGTTGGCTGACGTGGCCACCTCGAGGGACATTTGCATTTGGACGCCATCGCCCTTGGTGGGGCGATAAGTCAACGAATTGGCGCGCGCCTTGCGGCCCATAAAATGCCGTTCCACCCACTTGAGCAGCGTGTAAACGGAGTCAGTCGATGGCAAGCGATGATCGGCAGCGGTCTTCACAATATCCGAGGAGGTGACGCGGAACGTGCGCGCCATACCCTTCAGTGCCTGTGAATTGTGTATCGATTAGTATGTTTGCCAGTGTGTCTCTCGTTAGATGAGCTCAAGGCGCAACTACTTACCACCATGGCATCCTCATCGGTGTTATCGTCGCCCACATAGATGATCTTGATGCGTTCGTTCCAGTCAACGCCAAAGGATGTGCGCAATATGTAAATGGAGGCGCGACCCTTGTTCCATTGTACCGGCGGACGCGCCTCGAGCGCGCAATGCGCCTCCGTTGCCCTGAAGCCGTACTTTTCGATCAGGCTGCGCGCTTTGTCAACCATATCGGGACGCAGATGTGTGGGTGTCTCACGATAATGGAATGTCAGCAGTGAACCCTTGTTCTCCACCCAGGCGCCGTCGCGGCACACCGAATCCTGCAGCGCCTTGAGCAACAGACTGACCTTATCCTCGTACTCAATGGGCATGGGATGCACAAACTTGCTGCCATCGGGATGCAGAATTTCCAGACCATGATTACCCGCATAGGTGATGCCCTCGATGCCGACCATTTTCTTAACATTATCGACATTACGACCCGAAATGACGGCCACATAGACATCCGAGTGATTGGAGAGCTTAAAGAGAACGTTCTTAATCTCGGGCGATAGCGTGGCCAAATCCGGATGCGGTGCAATTGGCGCCAGAGTGCCATCATAGTCCAGCAACAAGGCCAGCTTGTGATTATAACCGATGTATCTGAGGCGAGCAAAACAATTGGAGTAAGTGCAGCCAAATGGCAGGAAATGGAACTCACTTGAGTAAGTAGTCATCAAAGTCATCCACGGAAACCGGCTGCATAATGGTGGTGCCCACATCGTCCATCTCGAGGGCGCCGACCGCCTTCAGGAAGCAGCGCATCCAATGGCTAACATCGCATTCGGCCTCGCGACGACGCAGACGTGCCATGCGCAGCACACGCTCATCCTCGGGCATGGTCAGAGCACGATGTATTACCTCGGCGGCCTCGTTCACCTCGTACGGATTGCAGAGCAGCGCCTCGTGCATCATTTCGCCGGCGCCGGCAAATGGTGAAATTACCAGCACCCCGGGCACCTCATTTATCTGGCAGGCGACAAACTCCTTGGCCACCAGATTCATGCCATCGCGCAGCGGCGTCACCAGGCAAACGGCTGCATCTCGATAGAGGGCGGCCAGCTCATCCTGACTCACATAGTCGTAGATATAGCGTATGGGCGCCCAATTGGCGGTGGTGAAGCGTCCATTGATGCGTCCCACCAACTGATCGACCTCCTCCTTGAGCTCACGGTACTCCTTGACATCGGTGCGCGATGGCACCGAGATTTGCAGCAGGCTGACCTTCTCCTTGTGCTGCGGATACTTGAGCAGCAGCGCCTCGAACGCCATCAGGCGGTGCACCAGACCCTTCGTATAGTCCAGTCGGTCGACGCCGAGAATGATCTGTTGCTTCGACGTTTTCAGCACCTTGGGCGCATTCTGGGCAAGATTCACGAAACGCTCGTACGGAATGCCAATGGGCAGCGGCCGGATACGCACCGTGCGTCCGCCGTGCTCCACCAGCAGATTGTTGCGATCCACACGACAGCCCAGATTGCGTTGACAGCAGTCGACAAAGTTCAGGCAATAATCCTGTATATGGAAGCCAACCAGATCGCAGCCGAGCATGCCCTGCAGTATCTCATCGGACCAGGGCAGCAGCCGGAAGATGTCCCACGGCGGAAAGGGTATGTGCAGAAAGAAGGCCAAACGACACGGCAGGTTCTTCTCCTCGGCATGCTCACGCACCCAATTGGCCGCCAGCATCAGATGGTAGTCGTGTATCCAAACAATTGGCGGATTCTTTTCGCTGCCATTGTTCTTCGCCAGGCACTTCTCCAGCGCCTCGATGGTGCGCACCGCAAAAAACTTGTTCACGGTCACATAGTCCAGCCAGTGCTCGCCGCCAAAGTTGGCGCGGCCCGGCATCGAGTGGAAGAGCGGCCAGAAGATCTTGTTGCAGCAGCCGTTGTAGTAGCTATCAAAGATCTTTGCATCGATGTTAACCGAAACCACTTGATCGGACTTCAGGCCAGCCGTCGGCGTTTGATCGTACGGATTCGATTCCGGTATGGCCTCATTGGGATCCTCCAGATGTATGCCCGACCAGCCCACCCACAAGCCGCCGCCCTTGATCACAACCGGACAGACGGCCGTAACAAGACCGCCGGCGCTGCAAAACAAACATTCGATTCAATGAGCTGGACTTAAGGGGAAGAAGTATGTATACATATATCAAACTTTTACTGGTTGATTGATTGATTGATTGACTCGAGCTATGGTTGACTGACTGATTGATTGAATACCTGGCTGACTGGTTGATTGATATTTAGACAACTGGATTGACTGACCGATTGATTGACGGACTGACTGGCTGATTGATTGATTGGATTTAAGCCGACAGAATGACAAACTTCGAACACACTTATTGACCGACTGATGTCTTTGACTGACTGACTGATTGATTGACGGACGCACTGATTGATTGCATTTTTGGCCGACTGACGGGCTGACTGACCGATTGATTGACAGACAAACTGATTGACTTACTGATGTCTCTGACTGACTGATTGATTGCATTTTTAGACGATTGCCTAACTGATATGTCAGACTTCCGCGCTGACTGATAGTCAAACTGACTGATTAATTAACAAGCTGACAAGCTTATTGACTGACTGATATCACTGACTGGTTGGTTAACGAACTGGCTGATTGAATTATTGACTTACTGACTGACTGACGGGCTGACTGATAGACTATCTGACTGATTGATTGATTGATATACTGACGGACAGACTTAATATTGCTTAATACTGACTGACTGATTGATTGTTGGATTGATTGATAGACTGACTGATTTACTGACGGACTGACTTAATGATTGCTGATTGATTGTTGGATTGATTGATTGACTGAATATCTTTAGGACTTTGTGTTGATTGAATAATTAGGAAAAGATTTTAAGGAAGCTTTGTTTAAGCCGGTCTCATTCTGGTAGGA